TTCCATATGTATCAGGCACTGGCCCCCAACAGGACAAGAAGAACAGGACTGAACCAGAGAAACCAAGGACAAGGAACTTGCAAGACCTCCAGGTCCTGCCATGCCGGCTCACAGAGAACTTGCTGAGCACAATGGGTGCTGTCTTCACGTGTTCCTACTCCAAAGCCACCTGCAACACAAGTAGAATGGACTTGAGCTCACTTTGCTCCTTCCCATACCTCCAGACACCAACTACACATCATGGTCACCCCAAATCCTTGCTACACTGCTACCTGTCTTCCAGCTGCAAAGCCCAAAAGCCCAAAGGGCAGAGTTTCCTTAATTAACCATCAGGCAGATTTTTTTTTCTTTTCCCTGTCTCTTTTTCCATTTCTGAGTTGTGATGTTTCCTGCCAACTTTCTGCTTGGCATGTATTTCTACAACAGAACCATATAACTTCTGTAAACAGATACTTACACTGGAAAGCCTGACACACCCTATATGGAGCCTGTGAGTGGCAGAACCATAATCAAGACAGTCAAGACACTGAGCTGTGCTAGTAGCATTCAATTAGGCTGTGAGCAAAGCAGCCTCAAGAGAAGAAAGTAAATGGGAACTCTATAAACGCCCTTGCACAGAACCCCCCCAGGCTCTTTTCATCACTCAGAGGCATTTGAGTTTGTTCTCTTTAGGGTAACCCTAGTTCAGGCGAGTTATTCCAATATAGCTGGTATGTTCAGAACCCCTTTTAAAATAAAAATTCACGGAAATGGCCAACTGCCATGATTTCCTGATATGAAACTGCGTCCAAAGCCTATGGGACAAAAAAGCCAGTAGTCATATGATACAAGTCTGAGCTCTGCCTGTCATTAACAGGGGTGGGTTTTTCAGGGTAAAATTCTCCCGGGCCAAATAACAGGAGAGTGATAAATAAAGCTTGTCAACTGCCCTTTCTGACTCACTCTCTCCTGCTCAAGGATGACTCACTGTCCTGCGTGAAAGGCTGCCAGGTCTTGCTTACATGCTGAAACAAGCATGGGTTCTCTGTGCTAGAAACACATTACTTCAGAAGAAGCAGACACTTACCCTTGAGAAGGCAGCCCTGGAAAAGACTCTGCTGACTGAAGGATCTGATCTTCAAGGTATTTCTCAATCTTTTCTGAAAAGTTCAAGATTGTTGTTAGATTGCCACAGAAAACTTAGATCCAAAGCCATGGCTGACGTTTTGTTTGGTGATCACAGCGTTTCAAACCATGGGCTTACTAGGACCATCAGGTTTTATCCAGGTGACTCCTGAGGAGTGAGCCAAACAGCACGTTCTAGGTGCAGACAGAAGTAACTGAGACCATGCCTGGTTTGGAGCTGCCTTTTGTCCAAGGAAAATGATGTGACAAAAGCAGTCACTTGTTGCTCACTATTTCACTGTGAGAAAGCAGTCCCATGGGGCTAGTCCCTCAAGGAGCCTGTGAGTCCATAGAAGGGCAAACAGAACGTGCTGACCATCATCTCACAGTCTGAGTAGCTCATTGACTGTTTCTGAGCAGCACCAGTAGCTGCTTGGAGCTTCCTCTCCTCTGCAGTGACACAGACCTTGCAGGTAAGTGGCCGTGCACAGAAAGCTTGTTTGCACCCAGGGGCTTTGCTGCCTACATGAGTGTGTGCTCCACCCTTGGGTCCTCTCCTGTCATCCCGGGCCCACCACCAGCCAAGTGTGCAACTCTGTGAAATCTCTGCCCCGGGCACCAATAACAATCCCCGGTTATTAGCACATACCACAGTCTGCACTGCCCTGCAGCACTGCTGTGGCAAAGGACACCTTGCCCTCGTACTCTTTCCAAGGCTCCACGCGTGTCTGTTGCCTTGCTGTGGCAAAGCAAGGTGCTTTTGCAAGGACAAGGACAAGGGAGGGCACTGGGATGTCAGTCCACAGATCCCAGAGGGCCTGGTGATGCAGCTAGAGAGACTAAGCTGCACCCATCCTTTAGCACACAGAGGACTCCTAATGCAGGAATTGTCAGGCTTCGACCAAGACCAAGAGCAGGGACATGTGCTGTAGCCTCCCTCAGCTCCAGGTATTAGCCAACATCTTGCTGCATCACATAGGGAAACCATGCTGCTGCAGGGCACTGATACCACAGCTGCCTCTTGCACCATCCAGGAGTCACACACACAGCTGGGAAGGACAGCTGCACGTGCTTTGACCCAGCAGGGTCTCAGAAAACTTGCAAATAAAGCACCATCTTAAGATGTCATCACCGTTTTTCAGATCATATGATCGCTAACCAGTGTGCCCAAAATGAATGTATAACCTAGAAATGTTAATTTTGAAAGGAATCGCAGACTGGTTTGGGTTGGAAGGGACCTTAAAATTCCAACTCCCCTGCCACGGGCAGGGACACCTTCCACTAGAACAGATTGCTCAGGGAATAGAGTATACCATTCCACATCACGTATATGAGGAAGATTTTGCAGCCTCACACACAGTTCTAAATCTATCTTTTACATTTATTCTCCTCTGGGAGAAAGTATGTGTCTTCCATAGAATTCCTAAGAGCTTATATTTAAATATTTTTGCTGTGCGCCAGAACGGATGTCTAATGAAAAGCTTGAAAGAGAAGCTGCAGGCCACAACAGCCTCATCCAATGGTAAAAGGACTCGCTTGACACATGGAAAACAAGCCCAGGCCACAATGCTACTTAGGCATTAATATCCCATGTGCCAGTCTAAGTGAGGAGACTAAGTAATAGCTGTGAACCTGCACTTTAAGTGTCTGTCTCAACAAGGCAGTGCAGGGCCATCCCACGGAAGTGATGCAGTCCCTGCACTGTTGGTTACTCCAGAAGAAGTAAATTTTTTTTCACAATTGTGCTGCAAATTTTCACCCTTTTAAAAACTGAACCACAAGGGTAGAGAAATCTGTATTATTCTTATCCAGCATTGATATATTTTGCTGAAAAACTTCCAAATTTGCACTAAGATGTCAAATTTCTCCTCTTAGCGATGACAAAATATTACCTTTCTGGTTTTCTTCTACTGTTTAATCATCCATTATTTTTTCATTGATTCTTATTGGCTATGACCAAGTCAGGATTTCATCCTGAATTTTACCCACTAAATTTGCCATGCTAACATTCCAATGTTTACCAGGTACAAATAATTTTATAAGCAAAATTATATCATTTCTTGCCACGAATTTGTTTGTTTCAAGATACTAACATCCCAAGTGCATATTTTAAGTATGAATTGCTAAGATTTGCTTTTTCAGTCATGTAAAATCAATGATAAAAATAAATATGTAAATATAATTAAAATATAATATGAAATGAAGACTTGGTAGATATTTTAAATAACAGCATTTCTATTTGCTATACTTATTTCACATTGAGTCATAGTTAAGGCTAACTAGATCAGAGAACAAAATGAGAGATGATGAAAGTAAAAAAAATAGAACACAATATATTAGAGATTCCAGATTAGTTTCCTTTGAAAGCAAAATTTCTGCAACTTTTCAACTGTAATAAGTGATGTCTCCTGGTGGCTTTGCTAACCCTTTAGAAAAAGAGGGTTGACATTGAAATCAATAATCATATTCATCTGCAGGTGTCAAAGCACCTCCCAAAACAAGTCAGGAAAATAATCTTCTCAGAAATGGTGTGATTAAGGCATTAAGATGATGAACCAGGAATTACAGGCTAGGTCTCCAACCACCCAGTCCAGGCCTTTGTGTGACAGAGTCCCCCACCTCTGACAAATGAGTTGGACATCTTAAGCTGCAATTTCAAAGTGATTTACTTAGCAAAGTGAAACCATGGCACTCAACACAGACACCACTTCTGCGAGGTGCTCTGATTACAGTCACCTTCTGCCACTGGTCTTGAAAGCACAGTGCTCTGACCACTCAGCCTTGTTTTGGGGGCTGCTCAGAAGGTGGCAAACTGAGGTCATTTGTCAGGATAGTGAAACCACTCCTTATTCATCCTTGTTCTTGTTCTCCCTCCTCCATCATCCCGTCAGGCATGCTCATCCAGGGTTTACACTTGCTCCAATGATGCCTACCCTGTTAGAAAACATCATGTTAATCTGCTTGACGCAATAAAGCAAAAAAAACCAGGAGAGAGGGGTACAGATTTGTGATGTTTCTTAGGCAAACCAGCAAGGAACCTTGCCCCCTTTGGCAGAGAACAGCTCTCCCCCAGGGAAAACCAAACAGCCGTGCTCGAAGCCTCGGCACCTTGCACAGGACGTCGTGTTCCTGCCTGGAGTGGGCACGCACACAGCATGGATTGCAGACATCCCAGTGAAGCTCCCGGTGGAGTTTGGCCCTTTTGCATGTGAATTACATGACTCTGTGCATAATGTATAAAGACAAGATGCTTGGGATGCACCTGATGATTCCAAAGCATGCAGAAAATAATTACATGTGCGTTTGTAGCAAATTTCACGCTCTCAATTAATACCAGACTCATTGGTTGTGTGCTGCAGATATGTCCAAAGATTTTGCATGTGCAGCGCTGTAGCATTCACAGGACTGCCAGAACTCCGAAGATCCGGACAAATGAAGGCAATTCTTAAGTTCTCATTTCCAGGCAAAAGAAAAGTTACGAGGGTAAGTCTTAAAGGAAGCTTTCCATACACTTCAACAGAGCAAAACTGATTTACAGTGGTGATGTTTACATGAGTTATTACATTTAAAAGTACTGCAGTGATATTGCTGTTATTCATGACTGGATGGGAGATGGAATTCCTCTTGTATGGCATACCCAGGCTTGAAAGATTTTGGGTTTATTTATTGTGAATCAAAAGAAAATGTTCTATTTCTATTACAACAAAAATTACATTTTTAAAGTACAATGTAGTAACAAAATTACTTATTTTGGAATACAATATATCGGCAGTGTCTGATCAGAACACTATTAAAAACTAAAAGTCAAGAATAAGAAGCTGGAATGATTCATGAGCAGGGAAATAAATCCCATTTTGATTTTGAGAAGTTTTGATTAATTTCTGCTCAAATTTATGTTAATGCCTATTTCCTTTCCTCAGAAAACTTAGGATTTTTAACAAAGCACTATGATGGACAGTAGCTGCTTTGCCCTGACAGCAGTATTTCTGGGAGAGGTCTGGAGCACTGTCCTTTGGGCAGGGGAGTGGGGTGCTGAGCACTGGCGAGCGATGGTGAACCATGCTGTTTATAAAAGGATGCTTGGCATGGACTTTCCTTCAAAGAAAACAAATGCAGGTGTTGCCTCAGAGTATTCGGACATGCTGGGTTCCCCAAGGACTCACCAGGGTGTCAGATGTGTGCCTCAGGCAATCGCACTCAGTCTGGTCTCCTGCTTTCTGCAAGTCATCATTGTTCCTGTCTCTTAGAGCAGGATCAAACACATCAGAGCAAAGGAGCCTGCTGATTTCTTCCCAAATCACTTGGAAGCACTTCCATCTGAACACAAGCCAACCCACATAGCTGCTGAAGATGTAGAAGCCTTAAACTGAAAATGCAGATCCCTTTTTCACTGAGAAAAAGGCCCAGAGTCCCACTGCATGGAATCATAGAATCACAGAATATGCTGAATTGAAGGGACCCACAAGGATCATCGAGTCCAACCCCTGGCCCTGCACAGGACCATCCCCAAGAATCACACCATGTGCCTGAGAGCATTGTCCAAACGCTTCATGAACTCTGTCAGGCTTGGTGCTGTGACCACTGCCCTGGGGAGCCTGTTCAGTGCCCAACCACCCTCTGGTGGAAGGAAGAACCTTTTCCTGGTATCCAACTTAAACCTCCTCTGACATAGGTTCATGCTGTTTCCTTGGGTCCTATCACTGTCATCAGAGTGAAGAGATCAGTGTCTGCCCCTCCACTTCCCCTCATGAGGATGTTGAACTACAATATCTCTCCTCAGTCTCAGAGTGCAGGATGACATGACTCCACTAAAATGCCAGTAACTATTTGGCATCAAACTTTACCATGCATGCAGCAGTGAAGACTTGAAAGGACTGGTTTTTTAAAGGTATGCAGACAGATGAGGCTAGAAACAGAGTGAGCTCAGGTGGATTTTATCTTGCTCTGACGAGTTTGGCTTAGTCTTGGCTAGTGTAACCTGGGACCACCACCCAGTTTCCCTCAATAATCAAGGGAAAGAGACTGATGGGGTGAGTCACTTTGTGGGGTTCCTATCACAAGGCAATAATTCACCCTCTGACTGAGCTTCTTTACTCCACAGTGGCTGTTGAGGAAGCTGAAGGGCATGGTCTGACTGGACAGATAGTGTTTGGGCACCTGCAGGTGGACAAGGTGATCCCCACCCTGAATTACAGTGTTATTATCACAGAAAATATCACTACCAAATACAGACCCATTGCATCTCTGCATGTCTGCTTGCAGATTAAAAAAACAAAACCTAGTTTTTCACTCCTATTTAACATTTGTTATCCCTGGCATAACCTGAATCAACTCCCAATAAATCCAACCTCTACCAAGTCTGTTCTTGAAAAGATGGCATTGCTGGGTCTGCTGGGTCTCCTTGGGATTGAATCCACAGTTCCCCTTTTTCAAGGAAAAGCTTCCCAGTTTATGAAGTACAAAGTATATTCTGGGCCCAGATGTTCTGCATTAATCTACTGAAGCCCTGCTGCACAGCGAGTCTCATCAATAGCTGACAGGGCAGTATGTGGCAGGCCAGGAGGTTACTGGCATCTAGAAATGTCACCAAGAGCAATGGAAATGAAAGACTGTACATTTTCTTACCTACAGAGATGAAACTATGAGGCCATGATGAGAAGAAAATATACAGAGCAGACGGCTCAGAGGGACCTAAGGCTGTGGTGGGAACTGCCTGCGGTCCAAGAGCCACCAAGGGACTGAAACTCCCCAGCTTGGGGCTTCAAGGGGAAAAGGTTTGGGCTGAAGGGCAAAGAGATGGGATTTTATAGGTACACCTAGGCCCTGGAGGTTAAATTTTATCCTAGGTGCTCTGCCCTACAGGTAAACTACAGGGGGAACCAAAAAGGAAAGAAGCATTTGGATGTGCAAGGCAGGGACACACTCTGGGCTGACACTCAGTCACACTATCCATTTATCTTTGTGTCTTTCTCTCCTCAAAGAAGTTCCAATCTTTCTGCAATGATGTTTTTCTCCTAAGGCAGTGAACAAGAGCACAAAATTAACAGCAGCAGTCGTCCTTTCAGTTCTCTGAACAGAGCATTGAGTATGATTCATGAGGCTATGCCAAGCTGGCATTTCACCAGGGCAATAAAGTTGTTGCTGGTAGATCCTCATTACCAGCACGCAGAGACCTACTGTCCAAGAGAAAGACAAGACCTCTGCATTGCCTCAGAAGGAGAAAATGCAAAATATTGTGTGGCTCAGTTAATTGAATCTGACAGAGAACAAAGCTGGATGCGATGAGCGAGCGAGGCTCCCCTGCTATCTAGACTGAGCGCTCTGCATGGGCCTCTCAAAAGTGGTCAGTGCTGATCTAACCCAGTTCCCACTGAAGTCAACAAAAAACTCTTCCTGACATCACTGGAAGAGCAACAAGCAGAGTTACTGGGGGCACAAAGCCAGGCCGAGGCTGAGACAATAAACTTGAAAACCACGCAGGAGGTGCCTGATGTACCTCCAGGAAAAGATGTAAAACATGACCAAGAACGACAAAGGGCCTTTGTTAAAGAAGAAGCAATTTGCCCAGTGGAAGCTTGAGAGATGCTCTCACCCCCCACTTGAGCCCGGGGTTGTCACACAAAGCCAAATGACGGTCTGTCATGGAAGCAGCCATTAAGCAGAGGGTGCTGCAAACATTCCAGCAGCCACTCAGTTCTCCTGGAGATGGCACAACTCACTCTCATGGAAATGCAAGCACATTTTCCCTGCTAGCCTACAGATCCCCACCGATCTGGCTCAGTCCTGCCAGACATACAGGAAAGCCTCTCTCCACATCAACTCACAACTCCTGACATGTCCCTTATCTTCCTGATAATATCAAGTGTTCCACACACTGAGGGCATCCCCAGCTGCCATCACCCCAGAAACATCAATGCAGAGCAGTCCATGAAGATAATACCTTTCAGCCCTATAGCTTTATTTACTATCTTTAGACTTTCATTTACTGATTTGTTTGATCAAGAAGACCACATATCTCCCTACCTGGCTCCCACCAGCCATAATCCTGCTGACACTTCACATGTTGTGCAAGGGTAAAGAAGCTTGACTCTGCACACACAGCATGGCCCTTTGCCAAAGAGAACTCCCAGAACACCTCTGATTATTTGGATTCTTTGAGGATTCTGGTAAATCACAGCATTCTGTGTTCAGACTATCAGACTGGAGAAACCTAAAGAGACCCCAGGTCCTTAAACCTAAATGTGAAACCCAGCTTCACCTTTAACAATATACAGCTCATGCAGTGTCTTGGAACTAAGACTCTAGTTTAGCAGAAAAACATATGTAAAAGCCAGGAACAGAAAATAACACTAATAATTAGAGTCAAATAAGGCCAAGGGTCTTCACTCTTCTTTCTCCCAGTGCTTTCTGCCCTGAGGTGAGGTACTAAGCCAAAAGACCTGACTGAAGTTAAGTTTCCTAAAATAAGTATTGAACTAGGAGGCACCTCCCATGTCTAGGGCACAGTTGCTAATTGGGAAAATACAGAAAGGGTCAGGAAAACATCCTGAAGCAACAAGCTTCAGGATGGGACTCGTAAGAAATTTGAAAGAGTGAGCAAAAAGCATCATGCCTTCTAGTAATACAGTAATGCTGGTTACGGTATTGATACAGCAGTGCTGATTTCTCTGAGCTGTGAAGGGGATGGGATGAGTTCATGCACTAAACAGGAGAACAGCACAGCCAAAAGCAGCCAGGGCAGTAAGTGTGGGGTTTGGGTGCAAGGTGATAATGGCTTCAGAGGTCTGCAAGAACTACTGTTGTGCACAGGGGCACGTGGGGGAGAAATGCTTCCTGTGGCATTCAGCAGCCCCTGCCACCACAGCTGGGACTCTACCCATGGATCAAGCCAGATCCAAGGATCAGTAAGGGCTGTGTTTGCCCTATTGGTGGATGCAGCTTTGGGAACACTCTGTATTTTTCCCATTATGACAAATGCCCATAAGGAAACTGGCACTACAAAAAGGTTGCACAATCCCCATCAGCTTAAAAGGAGAAAGCCAGACACACCTATTCCTTCCGTAGCATTGGAGGCACGAAGGGACTAATGCTAACATATACAAATAACAGGTCTAGAGGAACTCTCTCAAATTCCAGACTGGGATAGTATCAAGATAGGATTAATGCTGCATTTTATAAAGCATGTAAATGGTTAAGATGAAGATGCTCTTCACCTAAGCCTCTCTTTTTAAAATTTTAGAGAAACCCCTTTCATGAAAAATCAATAATTTCATATGAACACATGGACATTTGGCAGATCTGGCAGAGAAAGCACTTTACCAACATAGCATAAGATTTCATTGGTTTCTATGGTGAATTGGAGAGAAAAACAAAAGCTTCAACACCATTATGAACCCATAATTGGGTTATAAGGAAATATAGTAAAACTGGGGGTGATACATCATCAAGAGTTCCTCAGCTTTTTAGTCTACACATTTCTCATTTTAAAAAGTAACTTAGCAAAAGCAACCTTCCCCACAGTTTCCATTTCACCCAAACCCATGTGTGCTCAAAAAATTCCTAACCATCTTTTATAATTAAGAGTGTTAATCAGTTCTGTCCCTTAGCTCTCGTATTTGGCAGTTCATATAATGGTTTGGGAGGATCCAGATAACATTTGAGGCTGAAATGAGTCATCCTGGAAAAGATTATGTTCATATAATTGCAGCATGGTATGGGAAGTGCCCTATATTATAACTTGCTCAGCATTAGCCTGATTCTGAAGGCAGCTGTAGTCAGCCACCCTGCTATGAGTAACTCACTGAGGTCTCTCCTCAACACAGCACCTTTCTTACCTCATGAAAGCTTTAAGACACAGTTCTTTTCCAGCCTTTGTGTTTTCACAGCCTGGACACCAACATCCCAGCCCACTGCCAGCCTCCAACCCCCACTGTGATGGAAATATTAAAGAACACAGTTTCTCTCACTTCAACGCTGGTGGTTTTTTGCCACTAGATCTCTTTCGTGCCTCAATCATTCCCATCTGCCAGACAATACGAGTGACTGAGGAGGCAGCAGAGCTAAATGGCTGGGGATACCACAGTCTGTTTTATCCAGCTGCATCCAGTTCTTGGATCCAAGTTACTGCAGTAAGTTCCTCCAACTGATTCTTAAAAGTGCAAACTATTAGAGTCACCCAACAAGTAATGAAATGCTGTCATGACCCTCCCTGTCCAACCAGCAAGAAGGCTGCCTCTGCTCAGCAGGATTTGGGAGCAGGAATTTGCCAGGGAAAACTGCTCCCAGAGCACCTAGTGAAGTTCTGACGTGCCAGGATGTAAAGGGAACACATTCTTAATTCTCAGTGTCCAACACCTTGTGGGATGGGACACACTAAAATGGAAGCCCTGTTGGGACAGCAATTACAGCCCCCCTTTGACTCCATCATTTCATGGGCTACCTTCTCCTTGTGATTAGAAGGAAACTCAGGTTCCCCCACCCCAGCCAGAAGCAAGACTGCCTGAAGCTGTGTTGCAGGAAGGCAGGTGCATGTTTGTGACTCCACTGGGGGACTGGCAGCAGTTTCACACCAACTGACTGAAAAAGTTTTCCTGAAACTGCTGTGAGAAGATCCCAAGGGAGTGGAGTGCTGTGTGGGGACTGCCAGCTCCTTTTTGCTGCCCAGGAAGTGAAACATTGTGTGGGAACATGCATGGCTGAGGAACATGCATGGCTGAGAAAAGAGTCCCTGACACTAGCATGGTGTATGATCTCTCTGTCATTACATTCTCCTTCCATTAACCATTTTTTCGTGGTGCTAAGTTGCTGGCTGGGGTTAAACCACACCACCTTCACCACCAGTTAAAAATCCCCTTTTCTTGTCCTCATCATTCCCTTAGTTTCTCTGCCTTCCCATCCTGTCCTGCCTTCTTCAGGTTCTTTTTGAAATCTCACTACAAGTTTGTCTCCCATTTCAGTTCATGGCTGGGACCATCACATCTAAAGAGTGGTTGGTCTCCAACACTCTGAAATAGCCATGCACCATCTCCCCCACTCAGAGGTGGGAGTCCTACACTTCCAATGCCCAAGCACAACCTATTCTTACCTCTACTCCCTGCACTTGCCGTCCTTCAGGTACATGGGCTCCCTCACTTGCTAGACTAGTCTTTATACTATCTCAAACTTGGCATAAGAGGAAGTTTATGCAGGGTTCAGTGGAAACCAGCAGGCACCTAATGATTTGTTTTCAAGATTTAGTTAAGTGGAAGTGGCAGGGGTAAGATCCAGGGCTGGCATTGATTTTTGCCCTGCTGACTTTCATGTTGAGCCCATTAAAGTTTTCTGCTCTGTATATTCAGCAACACTTCCACATACCAGGGCTAGAGCTTTCCAGTCTGGTATCCAGAGCTCTGCTGCAGCTCGTTGTGGCCAAATCAGTTGGCAGCAGCTCACCAGAAACGCTTTTGGAGTTGGTTATGAGATGAGATAGATCTGCAGGAAGATCAGGATGCCTCTTCTGTCTCATGGTCCCATAGCCCTCTGTGACTCCTTGGCTCACAAGACATTTATTACCCTGGGCATTCACTTGTGTCATGCAACAGAGACCTTGACCCTGGGCTACTGAGGCCCTTGACACAGCCAGAGTGCCCAGAAGGGACTGGCTTGCTTTTCACTGGGCATGTGGTTCTGCTCTGCCATACCTCATCCAAGGATAAGGTTACAGTACACACCTTGGCAAGGTAGATCCTGGATACACCTAACTTCACCAGCACATCTTCTCCAAAAATATCATAGTCCTTTGTAAAACAAAAAAAAAGCAAAGACGTTTTCAGGGAAGGGGCTCTGGACATAAGGGATGCAGAAAGAGTGAAGGAAGTGTGAATTTCAGGCACCTAAACCAACGTGCTGCACAACACCACAACCAGGGCACCCCTCTGTAGAATGGCTGGGATCAGATGCTTCCAGAGCAGCTGGGCAGTGCTGGTGGGGCCATGAGGCCTGGGGCTTGGACCCAGACAGTCTTTCTTGCCTCTCACAACGTATAAGCTCCATGCCCACAGCCCGTCAGGTTACCGTCTTTGATCCTGCATAGCTTATGAGCTCTTCCTGAAGCCAGCATGAAAGCCCTGGAGGTTGGGATCCCCAGGCTTTGTCACCGGGCAGCCTGGAGCTGTGGGTCTGGCTCACCCAGAGACACCACTTACTGCTCTTCAAACAGGCACACGAAGCGCTTTTGGGACCGCCCCCAAACAGGAACGGCTGACACCGCAAGCCTGTATTTTAAACCAATTCAGATCAAACACTAAGGAAATTCCAAACCAAAGAGCTTTCCATTTCCTCTGCTTCCCCTGTAATCCACCCGACTGTCTGCCGGTGCCTGGGAGTGCTGCTGGCCTAAAAGCTACCAGCCTCCTCTCACACTCGGGAGAGTTGGTTCTATCTGCCCTATCCCTGATGGGCTACAGCTCTAAAGCTTCCTACACAAGCCCCTTTTAATAAATTAGGACAACTACTCTGGGCTTCTCAAGGATAATCGCTAATAAAATTCAGTAGATTTCCCCCAAATGACATGAAAGGGTTGGAAGCAAAAACAGAAACTAAAGGAGAAAGAAAATGCAGGACAGAAATAATAGGCCTTGTTCCATTCATGTCTCATCCACCACTGGTGAGTTTTTGTTCTTAGAGTCACATATTTCAGAGGTGAATCCTCCCAGGCTGTCTCCAGCAGGGCAATGCCTCATGCTCGCTGCTTTGGAAAGCTGGCTGGTTGTTTTTGAAGTTAGTTTACAACATCTTCCCAAACCTAGAAAAAATCATGAAAGCCTCAGGCTTGGATTTACAAAGAATCAGCATGGCATCAACAAAAGACAAAGTCAAAAGAGGCAAAAGATGTCCAGATTCATCCTGGCTTTCTCTGATAGGAACCTCTTCCAGTACTTTATTCTCCAAAGACAATTTAATGCACAAAAGCAATGGATTCTGAAGTCCCTTGAGGCACTGTGGACACTGATATTTCTATGTGGTCTAGGTTCAAGATGGCTGAGGAGCCATTGAGACCATCAGGTCTGGCTCCTTGTAGACAAAATTAGACCCGACAGGTGAGTCAAGCACCTCAAATAGGCAGCCCGAATGGCAGCAATCCCCAAACACACCAAGGAGCAGCAGGAATAACCAGTGCTGTTTTCTGTGTTATTAGGTTATCACACTGGGTCCACAGGAAGAGCAGCTGGAGGAGTGCAGAGCGTTGGATTTGTCTGTCACATGAGAACAGGAGGTTGATAAAGGACCAGGTGGGTCAGCAAGCCCTGTCTCCAAGTAATCTGTCTGTCGGCTTAACTGGGAGCAAATTACAGGCACCACTAACGAGAAACATGAAATGGTACTGGCATGTCTTGCCTCCTGTCTGTCTCCCCTTGTGGCACATTGCCAGTACTACACAGGAAAGCCAAAGAGCCTCTGTAACTCATTACATCTTGGAGGAAGGGGGAGGAGTTTTCATCCTGAGCAGGCCACTCGTGACAGCCCTGAGCATGGGATTTATGTGGGATAGATACAGGAAATCAAATGACTATGCAATCTTCTTTCACATTCGCTCAGATACATCAGCATATCACAAACCCAAGGATTCTTATCACAAGTGTGATTTTATGTCATTATGATTCTACTCTGTAGTTATAAAATGCCTTACACAAGATCTCAGAACTCCACCTTCAGAAACAGAGTTTTCTTGCCTGTCCCTGCTCCTCCTAGTGGAAGACCATTCCAGAACTTTACTCCACAGGAGGGGAAAGACAGTCCTTGCTACATTTGATTTGAAATACAGCACATATAAGTTTGTAATTAGACCACGTGGATGATAAGAAATGGGAGGTCTTGAATAGGGAAAGAAGATTGCAGTATCAGAAAGCTCTTCACACCATGACTACTATCTCCCTGCTTCTCCAAGTGAGCTGAGATGCTAAAACAATTAAGGTTTAACTTCAACATCAAATAGGACCTGAAACTGCCTTTTGTAATTTTATTTTTCTTACCTGTATTTATACTTAAGCATATCAATATTCTGAACTCCTGCTTCTCATAGTATGTGCCTCTTCTCAAGGCTTCTCTGATGTTAGCACTCCATTCAGATAATCCTGACAAGCCAGCCACTTTCTTTCAGGGGAGGTAATGAATTTAAATAAAGCAGTACTGTAGAAATGGAGAGTCAGTACATGTTTCCCACCAAAAGCCAGAACTCACTTTGGGAGCACTGCATGGCACAACACACTGAAAAGTCTCTCCTGGTAGGGTTCATCCAGTAGCTTATAGCTAATCCCTACCAACCAGAGGTCCCTTTATCCAGGAAACACAACCCTGTATTGCAATAGGTCCCAATTCCCCTTTGTTTCAAGTCCATTCCTGCATTTGCCACACCAGTCAACAATATGAGCTCTAATGAGGTGTCATGACCCATGGAGTGGCCTCCTTGTCCTTTACCAGGCAAGAGCAAAGGGATTGTTTTGTAAACTGCAGCCCAGAGCACCTCACTGTGTCTGTGACCTTTGTGTATTGAACTGTGCTGATGATTTTCTTTATTTATTAATTATTCCTTGCCCAATGAAACACCTGTCAATCTGTGGATGTAGAACAAATCATTTCCTTAAGACCACCAATCCTCCAACGCTTTTTTCTTCAATCCAGATAAATCTGCCCCTCTTTATATCCAAACCACTACAATATCACGGCTTCATGAGCTGTGAAATAAGTAATCATTAAGTGTTTTAAGAAAATGGTCAATCAGTTCACAGAGATTATTACAGACTCCAGAAAATCACTGAAGTTTCTTACAGTCATGGTGTGTAACTCTCAGTGCTTTTTCTCAAAGTGTATAACCTTCCAACACAGCAGCTCCTCAGCTATTCCCCTGGCATCACCACTTCCACTCTGCAAGGCAGCAAGTGTGGTCACACACCCTTACTTGGGAACTGCTTTCCTAGCACATATTCCTCATGTTGTAACATGTTTCTAGCACCTAAGAGTCATCCGAACCTGCTTTGCAAAGTATTTAGAAATGAAGTCTTACAGCAATGTCACCCACAGCACAAATCAACACCCAGCAGACTCAGCTGTGACTATTTGCAGGCAGAAATGACTGAATGCTAATGTTATTCCTCGGAAACGGCATTAAGGGATGGTAATTCGGTTCAGGGCACTCGCATAGATCTAACACTGGTGGAAGAAGTAATGATTTATTCAAATTGCAGCATCACCTCGAAGAGCCAAGTTATTTGGTGACCTGACCCCATTGCAGCAGGACTGGACCCAGTCACCGTCTTGAAAGGGAGACTGTGGGGGTGCCATGGGATGTGAACAACAGCACATACCACTCTGGGAAAGGCTGGGGCAAAAGAGAGGTTCCAACCCTGCCAGAAAATCTGCCTCTCCATAGTCAGAGAAGCCTGTGTCCTGAAGAGCACCCAGGACAAGGGGATGGGAGACATAAATGGTGAGACCAAGGGGTCTTTATCCGTAGTATTCCATATATATATTGGGTCAATATAGCAAATAGTCCCTGCTCATATGCAGAATCTCACTGCCCTGACAGAGAGTCCCGAATGACTGCCCTGTGACTCCAGATTTGCAAGCTTTGTGTGCTCCAGGGACAGGCTTTGTGTGCTTATGCCCCTAAAGTCTTGTACTCACAAAATCAAGGATCTGCATTTTTATTCCAAGGCAATTATTTCCTGGTGAAGAGATAGGTAGAAGAGCAGGGCCAGGAAGGACTCATCCACTTTCTCATTCCTAAGGAGAAGGTAGAATGGTCACTGTGAAGTTTGCAGATTTGCAGACACAGACACCATCAGACCAAAGAACAAGGTCTCTGCTCAAGGGCTGTACTATATAAAATATTAGCTCTGATGGGGACAGCAGCAGCACAGTCACATTAGCACTCCTGGTGCATGCAGCACTGTGGATGTCCTAGCTAACATGGAATGTAAGTGAAAGTAAAATGAAAAACAACTTTGGATATTAGGCCCAAATTCTTGTCTTCCTTTAGATAACAGAATAGAAGGCTTTCAAACAGGTGATAGGATTATTTCTTTGCACGTGTTGAGGACTACATGCATTTGGTACTGTTTCCCACTGAACCTCACAGATGAGAGATTTTAAACCTCTAATATTTCCTATTCTGCTTCTCAAACACCCTGGTCCCCCCACTACCAGCTACACACACATAATTCTTAAAACAAACTCTGCATGACATACCTTACAACTGCTGCAAATGGTAATGTTTGCTCATTTGCTTCTTTCGAAAGTAAAAAATCTGAAAGCATACAGAGGAGAAAAGCAGTATTTCCTAAAAAAAAAAAAATTGCTAGTGTCAGCAGAAACAGCTTTCTAACTTATAGGGGCAATGCTTTGCTGATGCAAAATACGAGCAATTACTCACATTTTACATCATCCAACGTAAGGTATTCCTATTGTACCCACTTGGACAGCCCTTGCAATTTTCCCTCTTTATCAGCCTGCCTTCTTCCAGCACTAATCTTGGAAGATGCTACTGGTTGACCAATAGATAACATTCAAGGACACAGTGCTTATTCCAGTCTGAAAATATTATCTGCCCGGTACATACTCTTTTCATTGCACTCAGTTTGAAAGGGACAGGCAGTGAAATGTGTTTGGCAGCTACCCTGAACTAACTTTCAACTATTAAAACTGCAAACCAGGCTGGGGATGTTGAGAGAAATAGGACATTTCACCTCTAAGGTTGCGTCTGAAGTTGCTCTTTTAGTTGCTAATATAATAAATTGCGACTGCATTATTTAGATCAAAGAGGTTTTAAGTAATGGATGAAAGTCAGCTACACCATGTTGTGAATTTATAAAATTAATAATAATAATAATTTAATCTTTGAAGTGCCTTACACAGATGAATTAATTACCTCACAGTACTCTTTGGAGTAGATGAGAATTATTACCTCGTTCTGAGCGATCTGCAAACAGCAACAAAGATGCTGGATGACTTTACCAAAGTCATACCAGGCTAGTGCCTGAGCTAGCATTCAACACCAGGCATGTCTGACTCTGTTTTTGTGTTCAGACCACTCATCCACCCTGCTGAAATGACAGCTGGCTTCCTGCTTCGTGAGCTTTGTTCAGACATGATCCTCAGACAATGGATGAAAATATTCCCACACAAATGATCTTGTTTCTTTTTGAGCTAGGCTAGTCGAGTTGAAATACCTCTTTAATGTCTTCACACGCATTTCCTGAAAGCCGGTGTTTTTTTCCTTCCTTAAGGTTTTCCTCAGTTGCTGGACTGGAGTTGAAATATAAAGTATGAACAGTAGTCTGATTTTAAATTACTAGCAGCAATATGAGGAGGTCACCATCCCAGGACATGAAGGCACATCTATTTTGGCCTCTAGCTGACACTGACAAAACATCTGGGTTGTGGTAAGGTCAGCGTGAGACGTTGCTTTCAAGAACACAGAAGCAAAGAACAAAGGGGTTTCCTGGGGCCCTCCTGCTCTGTCTCCTGCCCCATATGCACTGTGCCACGCAAGCCCTTCGAGTAGTGTCTCAAGTGGCTTTCAGAAGATTTTAGGTGCAAACTGCTCCATTCCAGAGCTCTTCTTTGGGATCGCTGAGGGCAGACCAGGCAGAGGTCACCAGGGAGCCCACGCCCTGCCCTGGAGAGCCACTGGGCAGAGTCGGCAGCATTCCCAAGCCCAGTGGAGAAGGTGGCTGAAGCTGCTGAGACACAGACCATGAAAGGCTCCTGCAGTACCTGTGTGACCAGAGAGAGATGACCAGCCTGGCTCCACCATAACAAAGCCTTGGAAAATGCCCATCAGGGCAGGAGGCAGCATCGGGCAGTGTGTGAGTGACCCACTGCTGCCACGCTCCACCTGAGCACACAGGGGGGCCTAGTTTGGGTGGGGTTTGGGTTTGGTTTTTTTGCCTCAGTGGTTAAAAAGGCCTGATAATGTCCCAATCCACAATTGCCACAGACACTCAAAGCAGAGTTAAGGGCACTTTTTCCTGTGCAGAGCTGTGGTTTCCCCAAAGTTTGCAGTCCTCTGGTGCTCCCCATTGCACAGGGTCATACATAACACCAGCAACAGGGAACATCACTCTGTGGACCCCCACCCTCACGTCCAGTACTGCTGCCCCAGTGTGTGGCACATTTCTGACACACTGCAGGACTCACACACACTTTAAATCATTTCCCTGTAGTCCATCTTGAGCCAGTATGGAGTAAATGCATATTTCTCATTTTCTCCATTAACATGACGAAAGAACTTGTCCCGCAGTTGATTGTTTGGGTAAAAAAAATATTAGACTCTGATTTTACTTGGAACTGCTGTATTTATCAAGGCCTAATCCTGCATAATTTGTAACTGAACATCATTCTTTTACCTTGCAAATTCAAGGGTGTTAGTTATCATCTTTCCAGTACCACTCACCTTGAATTAGTTTTATCATCTGCAAGAAAACAGCGTATAGAGTACATGTCATAAATCTATGCTCAAGTTCTCAGCCCAATAAAGTATTTATAATGCAAATCCTGTGCACATGAGCCACTTTCTATCTTTCTTCAGTCCACTTTTCCCCCAGATGTTGTTTGTGTGTGTCATCTGAACAGAAGTTCTCGAAGGCTGCCATTGTAAGAAAGAAAAATGTGTATTTCTCCTTTTTTGTCTTTCAGGTTATGAATTAATCGAAATAATTGAAAGTTTGCTAAGGAACATCAGCTCTTGGATTAACAGTGAATCAATGAAGACTGAGAAATCAAATGGAGCCATGCATTAAACAATACATTGCTTTTGTGTTTTTTATATAGTATTTATGTAATTGTAGAGTCTAAGTACTGGGAGAAAGGAGGCTTTTATTTAAAAATGGAATATATTGTGTACATTCCTGATATTCTGAGAACTTTAAATAAACACCAGATAGACTCTTCAGGGGACACTGGAAAAACTCCTAGTAAAAGCACTTTACAGCATCTATATTTTTTAAAAATTCCAAACAAAAATATCTTCTGGAAACAAATGAGGTCTATTAGTCTTTCTTAATTAACAAGAGAGACTTGCAAACCCTTAACTATTAATTGCAGGTCACCTTTAAAGCAAAATGACTCTTATTGCTGAAATCCTTCTGCCTACAAATTTAAACCTAGTGAAACTTTGAGGCTTCCTGTGACTTTTTGCCACGTACCATTCAGCTCTCACAAGGCTCTCACAAATTCTTACTCAATCTAATTTGGTAGTAGAGGCTGGATATGGGACAGTAGAATAATTCCATGTCAGCAGCCTGCAGCCCATGTGATGGTTAGACCGCAGGGATGAATGTTAGGAAACCATGGCTCTAATCCTTTGACAAAAAGTGGTTACTTCAACTTGTCTGTTCTAGTCTTTGGTTCCAGCTTTCTAATAGTGTTTTACAACTCTTGGATGAAAAGGCCCACACAAATGCTGTACCTTTATGTTACACAGTAGGGATTATGAACCATGAAAGAAAAACAGAAGAGGTGGTGATATAGCATAGCAAGACCTACCAGCACACCACAGGAAGGAGAAAATTCCACTCCTGTGTCTTCAAAATACATCTCAGCTGCTTCTCACTCATACCAATGGATGAATGACTGTCCCTGATCACTGTGCTCCCTGGCTGGGGCAGTGGGACAAGTTCTTGCCCACCCGTGGGTCCTCCTGTGGCCCTCGGGTTCTGCTGCAAAGGCAAACGTGGACAGCAGTAACAGGATGGAGCTGGGAAAGGCAGGGAGACTCACAGATGGCATGGTGCTGCCTGGGAGGGTGCCATCAGTGAAGGGGATAAGGTGACACTGTTTACGGCCGTATCCCGGTGACCATCTGCTGTTCCCTAGGAATCACAGATCCCAAACCCCCCTTCAGACTCCTCTGTGGATGAGACTCATGGCCAATGTCCTCTGCTCCTTCCCAACACTACTAAGCAGCTTCCCTGGGTAACATTTTAGTCCAAATAGCGAAATTAGGTGTTTTCCATGTGATAACATCTCCACAGCCACTTGTTTAGGTTCACTGTGGCTTTGACGGTCGGGAGCTGTGGAGGTTCTCCTGGATTTCCCAGGACTGGCAGCAGTGAGGGCAGCTGGTCCTGGTCTCTCAGTTATGGGCAGTGATGTCTGTACAGCTCTCTGGATGTTAAACACACTTTAGCTTCAGACTTTACCAGATTTAAAAGCATATCTACCAGGTCACAAGGTCCCTGTGCAAAACATCGGCTCCGTATTTGGAAGCCACACCTGGAAATAATTCCCATATGCTAAGGCAGGTCACTTTAGGGCATGATTTTGAGGTCTGGAATCTTTGGGATATTGTGAAGCATTTGCTTCTGCAAGCAGAGAATCTCTCCCACGTCATTCACAGCAGATCAGTGTTGTGGATAACTGGTACTGCTTAGATCACACCCAAATTTGTACAAGTTATGTTGACAAAGGTACTTTTTGTCAATAAAAGTAAAGTCCCCATGAAGGGTGAGATTTCATGTTACAGCTAATCCAGCCTAAAGGCCAGTTTTTGATGGAAGAAGCTTCCATCAAGTTTTCCCACCATTTACCTTTGTGTTGATTCTGTATCTTCTCTGACCCCACAGCAAGGCGGCTCCCTAAACTGTCAAAATAGTCATGCAGCAAAAAATGAATGAGAATCTTCCTGTTGAGTTAGCGTTTAACATCAGTTCATGGTGGAGTCAGAGAAGGGCCAGTGGAGATGCAGATAAATATAAAGGGACGGGGAGAGAACCACACCTCAACAAACCAGGTCAGCTATAAGGTGAAAACCAGCCACAACCTAGGAAAATATTGCTTCGCTAGGCCAGTGTGCCCTCTGAAAGGATGAAAATACCTGACCTAAGACTTTTAGACAGATCAGTTCAGTAAGACGGATCAGTTCCTCTGCTTTCACCTCTTAAAAATGGCATCATTCATTTTTGCGATAGTTTCCAACAAGGGAATATACTCCTTAAAACAACACTGAGGTGTTCATGGCCACATGGGAAGAACAATTGGACAACACAATGTGGGGGAAGAAAACTTCCACAAAGCAACCTGTCTCTAACGTCCCCCATTTCCAAAGCCTTCCAAACACTGCATCTTTTCTCGTGTAGGTGCTCTTTAAAGGTTTATCCATGCAAGCACAATCAGTTCATGGATAGCTAAGCAAGAATCTCAAATCAGCCTGAAAACTCAGCTCTGGCTCTGTTCTGTACAGCCATCTCTCTCTCTTTATTTTGACAATCATATTGTGTATGTTGTGTTCCCAGTTGCTATCGCCGGCTGCCAAGTACATATCCACGACTTGGCAGCCAAGTTACATATTTAAGAGGATGAGAGAAGCAGGTTTGGGAACAACTTCAGATCTCATCCACGGCAGCCAGGCAGCACTTATAGAAACAGGCTCAGGGGAAAGGGAGACGTATGGAACTGATGGCTCATCAACTGATTTTTAAAGAGCGGGGCTGTCATCAGCCCCAGGAGACCATCAGCCCACCTTGGCTCCAGTAAAAGTTGTGCTAAAAGAACTGGCAAAAGCAAAGGGTGTGTTGCAGGTACTCAGGGGTACCCATGTTAGAGTTTGAGGTGCAGGAGGCAGTGGAAACAAACCTTCGGCTGTACAGATTGTCACAAAAAGTTGGGGAGAAACTAAGACTGAGAATTACCTACATTGAGAACAACTGTGGAAGCAAAGACTAGGACTGAGAGCTAAAGACAGAGCTGGTTAGGCAGGTGGGGAATGCCTGGGAATCAGTGCAGCAAACAGGTGAACTAGGGGAAATGAAGACAAATCCAGAAGGGATTTTGGAAGGGAGGGACAGAACTGTCTCTGGCCCAGTACAGGGGGTAGGACAGACATCAGTGTTAGAGAGTATAGTCTCTCGCCATAACCCTGAGATGCCTCAGTTACTAGGACAGGAGATTTGGGATACTCAGATGCAGCACTGTGCTACCCTTAACAAAGCGTCTGCCGGAGGAGATCAGTTCAGGTATTTCATGAGCTAAGGCTGCAGAGGTGAGCACCAAACATCTCACCTGTCCTGATGGCCCAAATGGGTATCAGTCTGGAAAAAAAAATAAAATTAAAAGCCTGGCATTGTGTAACAAAGGTGAATAGAGTCAGTTGCATCCATGCTTCAGCTTTCCAAGAGCTGGAAGCTCTAAAATGAGACAGAAGATTAAAAGAAATTAAAATGTAATGGTTGAAACAGTGAAAGCTGTGAGAGAAGCTGATTTCCACATGGACTTCAGTCACAGAATGCCAGGCAAACCACTCCAACCCACATTCAGCCCCAATGTCCATAATTTCATGCTCTGCTCTTTCTGAGCCAACAGCCTGGCTTCATGGAAGTCTGAAATGCAGGATTTGGTATCCACAGCTGCAACTGAATGGGAAATCTACTTTGAACAGTCCAAGAAGTACATAACACTAAGCTCTCTGAAGAAAGCAGCTCCCTGGCATTTCCAGTGGAAGGCCCCATAATATACACGTGGCATTCGGCTTTTGCTGATTTATCACCTTCTTTCTGTGGGAACTATGCACATTTCAGGATTGGAAAGCTATGGATAATGTTGTGAAGCACTCAAGATGTGATGGTGATGAGCTCCACAGGCAGCATCGTAAGCAACAATTCTTCTTTAGAGCTGGGGCTGGACAGCACACAGTAAATAACGCGTATGTTGAACCATGAAATACTACTTAGGGCATACACTGCCCATTGTGGGCAATGACTGAGGCAGGTGCCCTGCAGAAGAAAAAAAAGTTAAAAAACCTGTTAGTGCATAATTAAAAACTGGGTTATGAGGCATAAGCATAAAGAAAGCAAGAAAAAGGCTTGCTACAATTGTCATAATTCTGAACAACTGACCTTGCATCTTTAATAGGCTTCTTTTAGTGTTGTTTCTTGTGGTATCTGTGTGTCCATGGGCATCCCAGTAGCTGGAAACACTCAACAATATGTATATATACACATTCTTTAGGTATATCTAATGTTTAATTTGGATATCACACCCTGAAAATAAACACATGCATAAACTCAACAAAAATATCACTGACTCACCATCCAGTAATCCACCTCTTCTCTGCTTCTTGTTTCTTCTTGCTGTGTCAAGCCTCTGTCTTCCATACCCACCGTATTAATTTCCTCCTCTTCTCCCAGGGGCAGTTAAATGTCAGCCCTGGTTTCTCTGGGAATATTAGACTCCATGTGTGCCCACTACTGTTTGTGTTGGACACACAAGTGCAGAATTCAATTTCACAGTAGCTAATACTGTCCATGACCAGGCCATTTACCTGCCAAGCGCTCTGCCTGCTCATTTAAAACAGGATCATGCCATATGAATGGAATAAATACTGTCTTTAGGCACAATACTGTGAACATTGGTGTGGTTTTTTGCTTCAGATTTGTGTGACATTGAAGCTCCTAATTCCTTATTCTCAGCAATTTGCACTGTTTTCACATATCAACACTGCTGCAATTTA